TTAAGGAGATTTAATGGGAGTGTGTGTGTGTGTGTGTGTGTGTGTGTGTGTGTGTGTGTGTGTGAGTGTGTGTGTGTGTGTGTGTGTGTGTGTGTGTGTGTGTGTGTGTGTGTGTGAGTGTGTGTTCAGGTTCATATTGATCTTATTGATTATGATCGATCCTTTAAATTCAGTCTAAATAAAAACTTCCCCTTTAAGAACAAACAGGTTAGAGAGTCTGAGGTCGTTCTTAAAGGGGAGGTTCAGTTTTAATGATCAGACTGACTCCTCCCCTTTAACAACATAACCCCTCCCCCTCTGTTGGCGCTCTAAACAAGCAGCAGGGGGTTGTGGGTAAAGGCCGACACTCACGGAGTAGGAGGTGAGGACAGTCCTTCCTTACTCCCTTCCATTCCTTCCTTCCTCCCCTCCTTTCTTCCTCCCTTCTTTCCTCTATTTCTTCCTTCCTTACTCCCTTCCATTCCTTCCTTCCTCTCCTCCTTTCTTCCTCCCTTCTTTCCTCTATTTCTTCCTTCCTTTATTCTTCCCTCCTTCCTTTCTCTTTTCCTTTCTTTCCTCCCTCCCTTCCCTCCTTCCTCCCTCCCTTCCTTCCTTCCCTCCTCCCTTCCCCTCATCCTTCCTTCCTTTCTTCGTACTTCCTTCCTCTCTTCCTTCCTCCTCCCTTCCTTCCTCTCCTCCTTCCTTCCTCCCTCCCATCCATCCATCCTTCCTTCCTTTCTCTCTTCCTTTTTTCCTCCTCCCTTCCTTCCTCCCACCTCCCTCCCATCCATCCTTCCTCCCTTCCATCCTTTCTTTCCTCCATCCTTCCCTTCTCACTTCCTTTATCTTTCTCCCTTCTAACCTTCCTCTCTCATTTCCTTCCACTCTTTCTTGCATCCATCCTTCCATCCTTCCTCCCTCCCTCCCTTCCTTCCTTCCTACCTCTCTCTCTCTCTCACTCCCTCTATAACAGGACTCAGGTTCAGACCTCAGGGACTCCAGGGTTCTGGTTCTGGTTCTGGTTCTGAGTCGGTCTGAGTAAACCGTCTGTTCCCCGTTATGGCGAGTTTAATCAGGACGCCACTTTCATCACCGCGGATACTCGAGCGTAAAATAAAGATACACACACACACACACACACACACACACACGCTCACACATAAATCCTCAACCTGGAAGTGCTGGAGCGTGAACGATCCGGCGCCGCCGCCACTCAGTTACGTATGGAAGCGCAGAATCATATGTTATAACCAGTAAACATGTAAACAGACGCCCACGCCCACGCCGTCACGGCCGCCATCATCACAGACACACAAAGGATCAGTCCTGTATGTTCGTGTTTACACGCCGTCTCTGGACGCACGCCATCACGCAGGACGACTCTCCGTTTATTGGCAGGAAGAGGTTTCAGTGACAGCAGAGGAACAGGAAGTCACGGTGGAGCTTAACTCTCGCCGCAGACGGAGGAGGAGGAGGAGGCGTGTGTTTGTACATAAGCTTTTTCTGCGGCGTGGATCCTCGCCGCACGCTGCCGCAGCTGCACGGTCCAGGGATCGGGGGGGCCGCCATCATTTCCATAACGCCATCAAAGCAGCTCTCTCTCTCTCTCTCTCTCTCTGTCAGTGTCTCTCGCCCACTCTGAGACACACCTGTGCAGGAAACGCCGTAAAGACCACGCCACCGCCCAGAGGACGCAGGAAGTACACTTCCTTTTAAGGTCAGGGCCGAGGACCAGATCCAAGGTCAGGATCTCCCTTCCTTCCTCCCGCTGTTCCTCCCTTCCTTCCTCCCTTCCTCTCTTCTTCCCTCCCTCCCTTTCTCCCTTCCTCCCTCCTTTCCTCTTATCCTTCTTCCTTCCTCCCTCCCTTCCTTCCTCTCTTCCTTCCTCCCTTCTTTCCTTCCTTTCTCTTCCTTCCTCTCTTCCTTCCTTCCTCCCTCCCTTTCTCCCTCCCGTCCTCTCTTCCTTCCTTGCTCCCTCCCTTTCTCCATTCCTTCCTTTCTCTTCCTTCCTTCCTTTCTCTTCCTTTCTCTTCCTTCCTTCCTTCCTTCCTTCCTTCCTTCAAATGTCAGGGTTAAATTATACACGAATGATGATGTCACTCTGATGTGGGCGGGGCTTGGCGGCGTCCAAAGTCAGCTGACTCTGTGTGAAGCGGTCAGAGGGGGGCGGGACCTTTGAGGTGGCCCTTCTTCTTCTTCTGTGGTGTCTTTATAGTGCGGCCCCCTGCAGAGCGGCCCCTCACAGCTCCTCTTCCTCTCTCTCTTCTTCTTCTTTTTCTCTTCTGTGGCGTGCGGCATGAAAGCGTGCGGCGGCGGTCGGCCCGTTTTCCCCCGTGGCTGCAGAGAGAGGAGGTATTGATTGGAGGAGAACAATCGCTGAAGTCACACAAACGCCTCCTGCAGCCGCCGGGCGCCGCAGAGACACCACAGAAGAAGAAAAAAAGAGAGTTAAAAGCTGCTTCTGCGTCTGTCTGCTCGCCGCCGGAGGAGAGAGCGAGGGAGGGGGGGCAGACCTCGGCTCGACGCGGCTCCCTGTGGACCCCGGAGCTGCTCAGGCCGGGACCCCGGACCCTTCGACCTCACCCGGCTGAGGGCCAAACACACGGCGCCCGGAACTGTGACACCCCGAAGGTCGCCGGCTCAAATCCAGAGCTCAGCGCCGGCGGGCACGCTGAACTTTTCTCCGAGTGTAAACTCGACCCACCCAGACTCACCCCGCCCCCCCCGAGCAGCGCCGCCACCCACGTGTTCATGAGCGCAGTCCAGGGGTCAACGGCGCCGGATAATCGCTTTCAGGGCCGCCGCCACGGAGACTACAATCATGATGTCATCACTATCAGCGCAATATGAGGTCATCCTCGGAGAGGTCGATGACATCACCAAGGCAGGAAGAGAGGAAGGAAGGAAGGAAGGATAAAAGGAAGGAAAAAAGGGAGGAAGGTAGGGAGGGAGGAAAGAAGGAAGGAAGGAAGGAAGAAAGGAAGGAAGGAAGGGGGGGCAGCAGAAGCCCCGCCTCCGTCTTTGTTTGACAACTCAGCAGAGAGAAAAAACACCCATGATCACTTCCTGTCAGACAAACCTTCGCCACGGCGTTTTCTTAACCATCTTCGACCAATCCCCAACCTCCTCCTCGTCGTGGTTAACCACCATGCTTCATCACTTCCTCGTCTTCCTGCTCCTCCATGTTGAAAACGGCGGCGGGTCAGACCACCTGACGTTACGTCTTCTTCTACTCGAACGTCGGCGTCTGATTGGCTGTCAGGATCCTGTCTCAGGAGAATCAACACTTTCTGACCTGACCTTGGGGAGCCCGCCGCTCCTCTTCAGTTCCTCCTCCTCTTCAGTTCCTCCTGCTCCTCCTCCTCTCCTAATTTGGTCACTTCCAGCTCCAACACGGCGGCCTCGTCACGGCGCTCCTCTCTGAGTGACCTGAATAAGAAACACCGTTTAAGATGCTGCTGCTGCTCCCAGCTGAGGTGGGGGGGAGGATGGGGGAGGACGGGGGAGGAGGAGGGGTGAGTCGTCTGTTTTCGTTTTTCTACGTGAAGGAGGAGGAACAGGAAATGACCCTCCTGGGCTCCTGTAGAGAGTTTGGAGTCAGTTTATGAGACTGAGAGAGAAGGAGAGAGAGGAGGTGGAGGAGGGGAGAGGAGGAGAGGGTGGAGGAGAGGATTAAAGAGAGGGAGGAGGAGAGGGTGAAGTGGAGGATAGAGGAGAATGTGGAGAAGAAGAGGGTGGAGGAGCAGAGGAGAGAGCCGTCCTCCTCCTGAAGGTGGAGTGTCAGCGCTGACAGGACAGAGGTACAGCCGACTAAAGGAGGAGGTGGAGGAGGAGGTGCTCCTCCCTGCTCCTCTCCTAAAGGAGGTGTAGGAGGAGTTGCTCCTCCCTGCTCCTCTCCTAAAGGAGGTGTAGTTGGAGGAGGTGCTCCTCTCCTAAAGGAGGTGTAGTTGGAGGAGGTGCCCCTCCCTGCTCCTCTCCTATAGGAGGTGTAGTTGGAGGAGGTGCCCCTCCCTGCTCCTCTCCTGAAGGAGGTCTAGGAGGAGGTGCTCCTCCCTGCTCCTCTCCTGAAGGAGGTGTAGTTGGAGGAGTTGCTCCTCCCTGCTCCTCTCCTAAAGGAGGTGTAGTTGGAGGAGGTGCTCCTCTCCTGAAGGAGGTGTAGTTGGAGGAGGTGCTCCTCCCTGCTCCTCTCCTATAGGAGGTGTAGTTGGAGGAGGTGCCCCTCCCTGCTCCTCTCCTGAAGGAGGTCTAGGAGGAGGTGCTCCTCCCTGCTCCTCTCCTGAAGGAGGTGCAGTTGGAGGAGGTGCTCCTCCCTGCTCCCCTCCTGAAGGAGGTGTAGTAGGAGGAGTTGCTCCTCCCTGCTCCCCTCCTAAAGGAGGTGTAGGAGGAGTTGCTCCTCCCTGCTCCTCTCCTGAAGGAGGTCTAGGAGGAGTTGCTCCTCCCTGCTCCCCTCCTGAAGGAGGTGTAGTTGGAGGAGGTTTTCCTCTCCTAAAGGAGATGTAGTTGGAGGAGTTGCTCCTCCCTGCTCCCCTCCTTAAGGAGGTCTAGGAGGAGTTGCTCCTCCCTGCTCCCCTCCTGAAGGAGGTGTAGTTGGAGGAGGTGCTCCTCTCCTAAAGGAGATGTAGTTGGAGGAGTTGCTCCTCCCTGCTCCTCTCCTGAAGGAGGTCTAGGAGGAGTTGCTCCTCCCTGCTCCCCTCCTGAAGGAGGTGTAGTTGGAGGAGTTGCTCCTCCCTGCTCCTCTCCTGAAGGAGGTGTAGTTGGAGGAGTTGCTCCTCCCTGCTCCTCTCCTGAAGGAGGTCTAGGAGGAGTTGCTCCTCCCTGCTCCTCTCCTAAAGGAGGTGTAGTTGGAGGAGGTGCTCCTCCCTGCTCCCCTCCTGAAGGAGGTGTAGAAGGAGGAGTTGCTCCTCCCTGCTCCTCTCCTGAAGGAGGTGTAGTAGGAGGAGTTGCTCCTCCCTGCTCCTCTCCTAAAGGAGTTGTAGTTGGAGGAGGTGCCCCTCCCTGCTCCTCTCCTATAGGAGGTGTAGTTGGAGGAGGTGCCCCTCCCTGCTCCTCTCCTGAAGGAGGTCTAGGAGGAGGTGCTCCTCCCTGCTCCTCTCCTGAAGGAGGTGCAGTTGGAGGAGGTGCTCCTCCCTGCTCCCCTCCTGAAGGAGGTGTAGTAGGAGGAGTTGCTCCTCCCTGCTCCCCTCCTAAAGGAGGTGTAGGAGGAGTTGCTCCTCCCTGCTCCTCTCCTGAAGGAGGTCTAGGAGGAGTTGCTCCTCCCTGCTCCCCTCCTGAAGGAGGTGTAGTTGGAGGAGGTTTTCCTCTCCTAAAGGAGATGTAGTTGGAGGAGTTGCTCCTCCCTGCTCCCCTCCTTAAGGAGGTCTAGGAGGAGTTGCTCCTCCCTGCTCCCCTCCTGAAGGAGGTGTAGTTGGAGGAGGTGCTCCTCTCCTAAAGGAGATGTAGTTGGAGGAGTTGCTCCTCCCTGCTCCTCTCCTGAAGGAGGTCTAGGAGGAGTTGCTCCTCCCTGCTCCCCTCCTGAAGGAGGTGTAGTTGGAGGAGTTGCTCCTCCCTGCTCCTCTCCTGAAGGAGGTCTAGGAGGAGTTGCTCCTCCCTGCTCCTCTCCTAAAGGAGGTGTAGTTGGAGGAGGTGCTCCTCCCTGCTCCCCTCCTGAAGGAGGTGTAGAAGGAGGAGTTGCTCCTCCCTGCTCCTCTCCTGAAGGAGGTGTAGTAGGAGGAGTTGCTCCTCCCTGCTCCTCTCCTAAAGGAGTTGTAGTTGGAGGAGGTGCCCCTCCCTGCTCCTCTCCTATAGGAGGTGTAGTTGGAGGAGGTGCCCCTCCCTGCTCCTCTCCTGAAGGAGGTCTAGGAGGAGGTGCTCCTCCCTGCTCCTCTCCTGAAGGAGGTGTAGTTGGAGGAGGTGCTCCTCCCTGCTCCCCTCCTGAAGGAGGTGTAGTAGGAGGAGTTGCTCCTCCCTGCTCCCCTCCTAAAGGAGGTGTAGGAGGAGTTGCTCCTCCCTGCTCCTCTCCTGAAGGAGGTCTAGGAGGAGTTGCTCCTCCCTGCTCCCCTCCTAAAGGAGGTGTAGTTGGAGGAGGTTTTCCTCTCCTAAAGGAGATGTAGTTGGAGGAGTTGCTCCTCCCTGCTCCCCTCCTAAAGGAGGTGTAGTTGGAGGAGTTGCTCCTCCCTGCTCCTCTCCTGAAGGAGGTGTAGTTGGAGGAGGTGCTCCTCTCCTGAAGGAGGTGTAGTTGGAGGAGTTGCTCCTCCCTGCTCCTCTCCTGAAGGAGGTCTAGGAGGAGTTGCTCCTCCCTGCTCCCCTCCTGAAGGAGGTGTAGTTGGAGGAGTTGCTCCTCCCTGCTCCTCTCCTGAAGGAGGTGTAGTTGGAGGAGTTGCTCCTCCCTGCTCCTCTCCTGAAGGAGGTCTAGGAGGAGTTGCTCCTCCCTGCTCCTCTCCTAAAGGAGGTGTAGTTGGAGGAGGTGCTCCTCCCTGCTCCCCTCCTGAAGGAGGTGTAGTAGGAGGAGTTGCTCCTCCCTGCTCCCCTCCTAAAGGAGGTGTAGTAGGAGGAGTTGCTCCTCCCTGCTCCTCTCCTGAAGGAGGTGTAGTAGGAGGAGGTCTCGTCTCTGTTTTGACTCATTATCAGTCCCCGCAGGAGTGACCGCCAAAGCGGCGTTCTCCGACACGGCGACTAAATTGAAAAGTTGGGAAATTGTTTTTGTTTTTGTCGCCGCGGCGACACGCCGTCTGGGGGGGGGGCTTTCTCATTTCCTGTTGAGAAGTGCAGTGCATTGTGGGAAAAATATATAGGAGGATTTGTGATATGAATCGCCGCTGGTCATCCATCATCGACCACGGCGAGACAAAACGGTCGGAAAGTTTGAGGAAACAACTTCGTCTAGAAAGTTCGTGTTTTTCCGACCCTCTGTTAACGATGTTTGTAAACTCGGTGAGAACGGTGCTACTCCAGGCAGGCCGCCATGTTTCTCAACTGGAACCTCGCCAAGGATGACAGGAGGGTGGAGGAGGAGCGAGAGGAGAGGATCAAAGTGGCGTTTGAACTCCTTCGTCTTCCATCATATGTAAGCAGGCGGGGCTGTGATGGAGAGGCGTGTGGCGGCGGCGTTGGCGGTGGCGTTGGTGGGGGGCGAGTGTAAGGCAGAGATGGGCGGGTTATTAATTTCCACTCTGCAGTATCATGCAGCTGGCGGCGGCCTCAGAGCGCCGTTTGGCGGTAATGGAAACGGCCCGAGTCGAAGATTAATGACTCATAAAGACGGAGCGTTTAAACGGGACGGCCGCCTCAATCTGGACGCCGGTGACTAATCGCAACGGACGCACGCACGCACGTGCTCGGTCACACACACATAAACATGCACGCCGCCTCCGTTCCCTCACCCGCTATCTCCCCTCCCTGCAGCTTTCCCCGCCCCTCCCCCGCTCCTATGATGCTGGTGTGAATTGTGGCGAGGTCAGAGTTCAAGGCGTGCAAAGAATTATCTTGATTTATGCCCCCTGAGCTCGGGGGCTGGTCACGGCGTGCAGCGTGGCGGGCGGTCCGCGGACCATTGGGCTGCTGAGATGTAGAGGTGAGGTCACCCCCAACCCTCCATTTTTTCCCCGTCTTAATGGCGAGGAGGGTGACAGGGCGGCTGCATCATCGAGCCGGACAAATGGGCTCGCCGGGCGTGAGCGATTTGTCCTCCTTCGCCGCTGAAGGTGTGTCATAATCTGTGACCGCTGCCGACACGGCGAGGACGTCTTCGTTTTAAGGTGTGTGTGTAAACGGCGTGTTCAATCTGCCGCTGTCCCATAATCCCTTTCACCAGAGGAATGTAATCTGCCCATTATCCGCCTCCACCGTATCATCTGTGTTTCCCAGTCCGTCCACGCCATCGTCGGAACGCCGCCACCGCCACCGAGCTGGTCGTCTCCCTTTATGTAAACACCGTGAAATTCGTGCGCTCTCCTCCATGATTACCTCGCCACCCGCCTGTTTGTCTACAACGCCGCCCCCCCCCACTGTTAGGCGGGTCACAGCTCGCCGTCTCCATCCGTCTAATCAGCCGCTGACACCTGCACGACTGTTTCCTGTCGGCGTGGAGGATGAGAACGCCGCCGCCATCGGATTTATCACGCCGTCTCCTCGCATGAACAGTGTTGGCTGGTTTCAGCGTGGTCGTCGACACGCCGAGGGTCAAAGGTCAGGAGGTCAAGTGGAGGTGTGTGGATGTGAGGTCAAGGAGAGGAGGAGAGGGAGCAAGGAAAGGAGGAGAGGAAAAAAGAGAGGAGGAGAGGGAGCAAGGAAAGGAGGAGGAGGAGAGGAAGCGAGGAAAGGAGCAAGGAGAGGAGGAGAGGGAGCGAGTAAAGAAGCAAGGAGAGGAGGAGAGGGAGCAAGGAAAGAAGCAAGGAGAGGAGGAGAGGAAAAAAGGAGAGGAAACAAGGAAAGGAGGAGGAGGAGAGGAAGCGAGGAAAGGAGCAAGGAGAGGAGGAGGAGAGGGAGTGAGAAAAGAAGGAAAGGGAGCAAGGAGAGGAGGAGAGGGAGTGAATAAAGAAGCAAGGAGAGAAAGAGAGGAAAAAGAAGCGGAAACAAGGAGAGAAGGAGAGGGAGCAAGGAAAGGAGGATGAAAAAAAGGAGAGGAAACAAGCAGAGAAGGGGAGGAAAAAAGGAGAGGAAATTAGCACAGGAGGAGAGGAAAAAAGGAGAGGAAACAAGGAGAGAAGCACAGGGAGCAGGAAGAGGAAACAAGGAGAGGAGGAGAGGGAGCAAGGAAAGGAGCAAGGAGAGGAAACAAGGAGAGGAAAATAGGAGAGGAGGAGAGGAAACAAGAAGAGGGGAAGAGAAGAAAGGAAGAGGAGAAGAAGAAAAAAGGAGAGGAAACAAGGAGAGGAGTACAGGGAGCAAGTGGAGGAAACAAGGAAAGGAAACAGGGAGAGGAGGAGAGGGAGCAAATAGAGGACACGAGAAGAGAAAACAAGGAGAGGGAGCAAGGAGAGAAAGAGAGACAACTAGGAGAGAAGGAAAGGGAGCAAAAAAGAAGGAGAGGAATCCAGGAGAGGAAACAAGGAGAGAAGAAAAGGAAACTAGAAGAGAAAACAAGAAGAGGAGGACAGGAAACAAGGAGAGGAGAGGGAGCAAGGAGAGGAGGAGAGGGAGCGAGGAAAGGAGCAAGGAGAGGAAACAAGGAGAGCAAACAAGGAGAGGATGAGAGGAAACAAGCAGAGGAGGAGAGGGAGCAAGGAGAGGAAATAAGGAGAGGAGGAGAGGAAACAAGTAGAGGTAACAAGTAGAGGAGTGTTAACAGCTGAAATTGCTGATTCAGCGCATTGACCCCCCTCCACACACAGATGTAGCTCCTTCTCCGTCTCGTTAATCCAATTTCTCCTCCTTCTCTCACGGAGGAGAACTTATTGAGGAGCATCATTAGATTTTTACCGCCATGTTACATCAGAGCGCCACCGCCGCCACCGCCGCCACCGCCGCCGCTAAAGAAATCAGCCTCTTGAAAATAAACCTCCAAATTGAGTTTGAGTCCGGCGGCGGCGGCAGCAGAGGCGTGTTTTTTCAAGGTGTGTGTGACTCAGGTGACTAAAGGTGGAACACACACACACACACACACACACACACTAAAACACACACACACACACACACACACACACACACACTCCCCTCAGAGAGCTCTCTACATATGCTCATATACAAGAGTTTGTGTGTGTGTGTGTGTGTGTGTGTGTGTGTGTTTTAGTGTGTGTGTGCGTCTCCCCTGATGGATCAGGCTCCTCCTCCTCCTCGTCTCCTCCTCCTTGTCTCCTCCTCTCTAATAAGGAGGAGCAGAGGGAGACTCTGCTGTCTAATTACTGCAGCCGAGGGTCCTGGATTCATTTCCACGCTAAAATAGCCCCGATAACGCCGCCGCCGCCGCCTTCGCCGTAGCTGCTGTTTTCTCCAGTGTGTGTGTGTGTGTGTGTGTGTGTGTGTGTTACAGTAAGAGTGTGTGTGTGTCCGCTGATTGAATTAGAGAGCGTCCCCCGGTGACTAAGAGGCGGTAATTAGTCTGTAATTTCAGATTACATTATTAAACGTCTGACTTTATTAGAATGTAACTTCACCTCGGCCGTTTACGAAACAGCCTTATCGGAAAAATACGACATGATTAAGGGAGGGAGGAAATTAACGCAATTGTCCTTTTGTGAGGGGGAGAGAGAGAGAGCCGGCGCCGGAACACACACACACACTATAACACACAATAACACACACACACACACTACAACACACACTATAACACACCGCACTATAACACACCGCACTAACACACACACACACACTGAAACACACACTAACACACACACTATAACACACAATAACACACACACTATAACACACCGCACTAACACACACACACACACACTAAAACACACACTAACACACACACACACACTAAAACACACACTAACACACACACACACACACTAAAACACACACTAACACACACACTATAACACACCGCACTATATCACACACACACTTTAACACACACACACACACTAACACACACACACTGAAACACACACACACACATACACACAGAGGGAGGGTCTGAAACACCTGAGCAGGTAAGTTCTGACGGTTCTGACCCGGTTTACAGGTTCTTCTTTACTGAGAGGAGAGGAGAGGAGAGGAGGAAACAAGGAGAAGAGAGAGGGAGCAAGGAGAGGAGGGAAGAGAAGAGGAGGGAGAGGAGAAGAGAGAGTAAGGACAGGAGGAGAGGAGAAAAGGAGAGGGGGAGAGGAGGAAAAGAGGAGAGGAGTAGAGGGAGCAAGGAGAGGAAAAGAGGACAAAAGGAGAGGAGGAGAGGAGAGGAGGAAACAATGAGAAGAGGAGAGGAAACAAGGAAAGGAAACAAGGAGAGGAGGAGAGGATACAAGGAGAGGAGGAAAGGGAGTAAGGAGAGAAGGAGATGGAGCAAGGAAAGGCAAAAAGGAGAGGAAGCAAGGAGAAGGAGAGGAGAAGAGAAGGAGATGGAGCAAGGAAAGGCAAGAAAGAGAGGAAACAAGGAGAGGAGAAGAGGAAACAAGGAAAGTAAACAAGTAGAGGAGGAGAGGTAGTGAGGAGACTCAGGTTTGGGAGAACCTGGACTGGGTCCTCCTCCAGTCCTGCTGGTTCTGGTCCAGTCTGGGTGAATCGGGCCCCTGTGGCCCCCTGTGGCCCCCTGTGGCCCCCTGAACCCTCCTGTTTGAGGGCCCTTAGCTCTGTAAACATTACCTCATCAGCCCCCCCCTCGGCCCCGGGGCCTGTGGGAACTGAAGCCCACTCCTCAGGCTGGAACAAAGGCCGGCCCTCCCTTGCCCCCTCGCCCCCCGGCCCCTGCCACCGCTGCCCCGGCCCACCTCCACACAAAGGGGGCCACGGGGCCTTAATTCCCAGGCAACGATATCAATGGTGGCCCCCCAGATCTGGAGGACGAGGCAGGAACGAATGGGACTGAAGACCCAAAGGGAGGGGGGCTGGAAAAATGGCAAAGAAGTCATGAAAGAGCTGCCCCCCCCCCCACACCTCCACCCTCACCCCCCCACCCAAGAGCCCCTTTTGTTGGTGAGAGTGAGGGGACAGGAGGGAGGGGGCCCGAGGGGACCAGGGTGAGAGGAGACAAAGGACAGGTCGGAGAGAGAGTGGCGGGGGTCAAAACTGGCAGAAACAGCCCCCACACACATCCAACCAGACCCCCAACAGGACCCCCAACAGGACCCCCAACAGGACCCCCAACAGGACCCCCAACAGGACCCCCAACCGGAGGCAGACGTCCCTTTGGTTGGACTGAGGGTTCAGTCTCTGCAGTGACCTCAACGTTACGACAGACAAACATCTAAACAGACATACGGAGGTCAAAAATAGTCATAGTGATAATAATAAATATAGGGGAGACCGGGGTAAGTTGACCATAGGAGACCCTTTTTGTCGTCCTGCTCTCTTCTGAAGATGACGGTTCTGTTTACACTCATTCTGATGAAGAACATCCTGAAATATCTGCAGAGACACGAGTCAGAGACTAAACTAGGACTGATACAGAAACATGGATCATCCTAACCCGCTCTCCCCTATTCAGGTTCTTGTTGAAGTGGGTCAGGATGAAGGAGTTTAGGGGGGATGAAAATGGTCAAAATCATCCTCCTTCTACAATAACTGTGGAAATATTAAAACTATTTTAACTTTAGAAAAATGACCACATTTATAATAATTAGTGGGTGTGACAGAGCGGCGTCCTCGCACATGGACACATACCTACAAACACGCCAAACATTTCCCTCCCCGCCAGCGTCACTAATTACCCACTTTACTACTTCTTCTTCTCTGTTGGATTAAAGGGTAACCACGGTAACCGAGGTCGGTTAACGTAAACATTCATTCACGCAGATATTCATCCCTTCACTTACTAACCAGGCGTCCGTTCACGCCATCACGCCGGATCATGTTTCCAAATGAGGAAAGAGAGCGCAGGATTTCTGGGTGTAAAGTAGGTGGGTATGGAGGGTCAAAGTGGTCACATGATGCAAGAAAAATTAATTCCCTTGTTGTTTGTTATGAATCCATAAAAATTTAAACTCTATTCATTTGTGTAAAAACTTACAGGTTAAAAAATTTCCCCCCAAACTTATTAATTAATAACGCCCACTGGGAGGGGCTAGAGGGGGTTTAAAGAAGGCTGTCTGAGCCTGTTACTGATTAGTGGAACTCCTGTGAGCAGCGCTGCAAAAAAAACAACAACAAAAAGACTAAATCTGAGGGAAAAAGGGACTAAAAACAAGATAAATGATCTGTCCATGCAGCAAGATCATTTCACTAAACAAGATTTCTTGAATGAAGATTGTTCAGTCTAGAAATAATCATGTCTACAAATGTATTTGGAAGATTAAAGTCAGACAAACATGCTGGTTTAAGATCAGATGATTAAAATGTAACTTTTACAGCCCTAAAATCAGTTAAATATTCTTAATGTTAGTATAAAATAAGTTAAATATACTTAATAGAAGTATTTAATAAGTTAAATATACTTAATAGAAGTATAAAATCAGTTAAATATTCTTAATGTTAGTATAAAATAAGTTAAATATACTTAATGTTAGTATAAAATAAGTTAAAAATACTTAATGTTAGTATAGAATAAGTTAAATATACTTAATAGAAGTATAAAATCAGTTAAATATACTTAATGTCAGTATAAAATAAGTTAAAATACTTTATGTTAGTATAAAATAAGTTAAATATATTTAATAGAAGTATAAAATAAGTTAAAAATACTTAATGTTAGTATAGAATAAGTTAAATATACTTAATGTTAGTATAAAATAAGTTAAAAATACTTAATGTCAGTATAAAATAAGTTAAAAAGTACTTTATGTTAGTATAAAATAAGTTAAAAATACTTTATGTTAGTATAAAATAAGTTAAAAATACTTAATGTCAGTATAAAATAAGTTAAAAAGTACTTTATGTTAGTATAAAATAAGTTAAATTTATTTAATAGAAGTATAAAATAAGTTAAAAATACTTAATGTTAGTATAAAATAAGTTAAATATACTTAATGTTAGTATAGAATAAGTTAAATATACTTAATGTTAGTATAAAATAAGTTAAAAATACTTAATGTCAGTATAAAATAAGTTAAAAATACTTTATGTTAGTATAAAATAAGTTAAATATGTTTAATAGAAGTATAAAATAAGTTAAAAATACTTAATGTTAGTATAAAATAAGTTAAATATACTTAATGTTAGTATAGAATAAGTTAAATATACTTAATGTTAGTATAAAATAAGTTAAATATACTTAATGTTAGTATAGAATAAGTTAAATATACTTAATGTGAGTATAAAATAAGTTAAATATACTTAATGTTAGTATAGAATAAGTTAAATATACTTAATGTTAGTATAAAATAAGTTAAATATACTTAATGTGAGTATAAAATAAGTTAAATATACTTAAAGTTAGTATAAAATAAGTATAGGTGTTGTAATAAGTGTTACCCAGAATCCTTTGTGAACCAGTCTGTTTTTGGAGTACACTCGGGGTGTTTCAGCGGAGGGTTGTTTTGCAGTGCGGTGGAGGCGGGGTCGGCGGTGTCCGTCGGTTTGGGTGAAGTGTCCGGGGTAGAGTGCGGCGGTGGCGGTGGCGGTGGTGGCGGGATAATTGGGGCGATGTTGGATCTAGTGTGTGCAGCTCTTGAGCGCTGGAGGTCAGGGACCTGAAAACACTGGCTCAACAGTTACCAATCATTTCAAACCCGGGCTGAAGAAAGGCATCGTGGGCCGGCGTTCTCTCAGGGGCCGCGGCCTGTGGGGGGGTTCAAAGGGACGTGTGTGTGTGCGTGTGTGTGCATGTGCGTGTGCGTGTGTGTGTGTGTGTGTGTGTGTCTGTGTGTGTGTGTGTGTGTGTGTGTGCACAGACTCTTTTGAAGTGAGAGGAGCTCAGAGGGGAGAAACTCAAACAATTACAGCACTTTAACCCCCCTCTCTCTCTCTCTGCGCGGCGGTGTCGGTGGCGCTCTGGTTCATGCGTTCACGCTCTCACCTCTCATCACTTTATCCTCTTCCTCTCTCAGAAGTGAAGGAGGATGCGGCGGCGGCGGCGGCGGTGGCGCTCTGTTGTTGGGGTTCATCTTTAAGTGAAACATGTGATCGTCACACGGCGTGTCGGTTTGTGAGGCGTTTTATTTTTACGCTCCCAGGCGGGGGGGGGGGGGGTTAGCCAACGACCCCCCCTTCACTTCCTCCCCCCCCCCCCCCTCTCTCTCTCTCTCCCTCTCTCCCCCTGCAGAACGCGGTGGCGGCGGCGGCGGATTGTGCAGAATGCAATTAGAGCGCCTAAATGAAGTAGTAATGGAGAACCGGGTCTCCCTCCCACCAGTGTTGCCGTAGCAACCAACGTTCACAACACCAACGCCTCGAGTAGTTTTGCTACTTTATCTTCAAAACGCACAAACCGGCGAGGAGGGGGGGTGGGGTTAACAGCTGCGTGCTCGGAGGTGTTCTGCGGCGTCCTCGTCTGATATCGCCGGCCCTCAAATATTTATCCTGCTAACTGTCGAACGCGCTCCTGAGCGCCAGATTTCAAAGGGTGACGTGTGTGCGGCAAGCTTTGATTCAACGCTACGACCGGAGGGGGGTAAGCGCGATGTGACGGCGAGGGAAAGAGGCTTGGCTTTGTAAACAGCCTGTAGTGGCGGCGGCGGCGGCGGCCTTGTTGACTTATGTGACAAACGGGAGTTTCAGGCGGCGAGTTTCATCATCAGGAAATGGGATTAAAGGTGCGTCACACCTGCAGACTTTGGAGTCCGCCGCCAACGGAAAGTTCATCTACCGGGGTCAGACTTCTTCTCTGAGGTCATGTGGTCGACGAGAGAGAGAAAAGACGGCGAGGACGGAGACGTGATGGAGGACGAAGACGTCTGAGAGGAAGTTCATCTTCAACGAACGTCGACCAGAACAGGACAGAAACAGAACGGCTCCTTCAGCTCTCCTCCTCCTCCTCCTCCTCTCCTCCTCCTCTCCTCCTCCTCTCCTTCAGCTCTCCTCCTCCTCCTCCTAGATAGATAGATGTACTTTATTAATCCCGAAGGAAATTCAAGAGTGGTCAACTGCTCACAAGAGTCAGTCACACACACATATGATATGATAAAAACAGATTATGAATAAATATCTAAAAATAAATAAAGAAATAAAGAAAAACTAATGGCTCTCCTCCTCCTCCTTCTCCTCTCCTCCTCCTCCTCCTCCTCCTCTCCTCCTCTCCTCCTCCTCCTCCTCTCCTCCTCCTCCTCCTCCTCCTCTCCTCCTCTCCTCCTCTCCTCCTCCTCCTCCTCCTCTCCTCCTCCTCCTCCTCCTCCTCCTCCTCTCCTCCTCCTCCTCTCCTCTCCTCCTCCTCTCCTCCTCCTCCTCCTCCTCCTCCTCTCCTCCTCCTCCTCTCCTCCTCTCCTCCTCCTCTCCTCCTCCTCTCCTCCTCTCTCCTCCTCCTCTCCTCCTCCTCTCCTCCTCTCCTCCTCCTCCTGGTTCCTGCAGTCAGACCATGATGGCCTCAGACTCTGCTGAAGTTCTACCTCAGATCCTCGGTCTTTGGTTGTGAGGAGACAGCAGCTCTCCTCCTCCTCTTCTCCTCCTCCTCCTCCTCCTCTCCTCCTCTCCTCCTCCTCCTCCTCTCTGTCTCAGATCCTCACAGCTGTGTTACAGAAACACAGTCTGTTGTGTCTCAGCTGCTTCTCATCATCACTTCACTGTGTTTTAAAAACAGAGCTCCGCTCATTTACATTTCCTCCTGACGCTCTGATCCGACTCTGCTGCAGATTTAAAGATCTGAACCTGGATCCAGAGTTTGAGTCCGGACACTCACGTCGTTTACAGTCTCAGTTTAATCGACTAAACTCATAACTCGTCTTTTTCTCCGAGTCAGACTTCTCTCCTTGTAGCTGAGAACATCGAATTATTGAGGTGAACGTGTCCTCCTCCCCAACACTAGGGGGCGATATGGGTCTTTTCAGCGGCGCTGTTTCCGACCCCATCCAACCGTCAACAACAACAGCAGGTCGGTGTCAGACGTCAGAAGTGTCTACAACTGCTGCTGGGCATTTTGGAGAAACAAGAAGATGGAGCATCGTACAGCGTTGTTTTTGTCCGACATGATGGACGCGCTACTTTTTCTAAAGATGAGACCAACGCTACTCCTCTACTCTGGGGGTTTGTTACGGGGTTACGGGGGCGTGGCCAATCATACTCCGACTACGCTGGTTACATGGTAGAGAAAATCGAATTACAATCTCATTATCTGGGCGTCTTAATCTCTGATTATAGTCGGACTCACCCCCGACCTCCACCGTCATCCTGATCGTCTCCTAAAAGGTCGTATCCTCCGATCGTAGCTGATCGTAACCATTCAAGTTAACGTGTCAATTTACACCGACTTCTTTCCGTTCCTCTGCGGATCGCCGGACTCCTCAGCTGATCACAAGAGTTCTATTTTTTCTGGACGCCGAAGCATGGCGGATAAATTCAGCACAGATTAACCCGTGCTGGAAAGGAAGTCGGGCACAGACTTCAAAATAAAACATCCGGCTTCTTTTCAAAATAAAACACTCCGTGTTTCAGGAGGATCGTATTTCACACCATGCAAACGGGCGGAGACGAACAAGTGAAAGGTTTTTAGACGTCATTTCACCCCGATGACACCATGGATGAGGAGATGCTGATTCTAGAAGTCTAGAAGTAGATTTCCTCCTCTGGAAGGACACAATCTACTGCTTATATGTCTATGTGTCTGTCTTTAGAGAGACAACTCATTATCGAGAGATTGAACGTGAATCTGCGGGTTCTTGTGAGTTCTCGTCTGTAATCCGTTTTGAAATCCACGATCTGGAGTTTACATGAACTTCAGTTGTCCAGATTTAATCGGAGGAAGACGATAGTTCGGTTTTCTTGAGTGTCATGGAAACACACTGAGTGTGTGTGTGTGCGAACAGGTAACAGGTGTGTGTGTGTGTGTGTGAGTGTGTGTGTGTGTGTCTGTGTGTGT